CTTCTTTCTTTTGCTCAGAGGCTTGAACAGAACTGGGCCACTCATTCTGCTCTGGCCAGAAATAAATACAGGCTGCAGTAACCGTCACGGTCTTACTAAACGTCTGCTCTTCGTTTTTGAAAGGAACGTTTTCCCTCTCATTTCAGCAATGAAGAGTCAGTACCCCCTGACCCCTCAGCTGGCTTTCCTCTCCCCTCCCACAGAGACTATGGATGCAGACGTATCTTGGAGGGAGGGAGCTTTTCGAGATTAGCCTGGCTTTCTGTGGTGATGGGAGTTGATCTTCTATCTACAGGTGTCAGGACCACCAAACGAGAGCCCTCTTGTGGGACACAAGGCTGTTCATGCTTCTCTTCTCCAGGGGTGCCTTACTCCCTGCCCTTCCTGTTGCTTTCCACCTTGGCCCCTTCGGCAATATTGGTCCCGTCTTTCTCTCCTCCGGGGCTTCCTCGCTTGTGGATCGGGTTCTGCATGGCCTGCAGCAGGCATTAGAGAAAAGCAGCTCAAGCTCTAATTGGAGCCCCACTCCTGTGCAAGCTTGTACACATGACAAAGCTGCCCTGTAGCTGATTTGTCCAAACTCTAAAAGGGAAGTAGAAATCAGCATAATTTAAACTGGATCCCATTGGTAAAGATCAGCAGGTAAATAAAGAACATATACAAGATGGGTGTAGCACCTTATCAAAAATGGCCAAGTGGACGCCAGCAAGGTCTAGAAGGTGTTTCATGCAGGGTGGAGACCATGGTATGGGGGCTTTCTCCCCAGAACTCCTGCCTGTGAGCTTCCTCTTCCTGCACCTTCCACTAAATGCCCACCACTCCCAGGGCCCCCACGTGGCTCTCCCCCAGTCTTACTACATGCTCTTTGCCTGAGTGATCACACCCACTTCCATGGCTAAACAACCAACGTGAGCTACTTACAATGCAAGTTATTCTCCAGCTCAGACCTCCCTTCGAAGACCTTGACCAGTTGACTTGTCCCCTACGTGACCCAAAGTCAGTGACTCATCTGATTTGAAATGGAGCTCACCACCTCTCCCTGCTCCCCAAACTTGCTGCTACCCTGTGTGTTCTGCCTCACCAAGCCTGAATCAAAGGAACCATCTCCAGTTCCTTTCTCTCCCTCGCTCTCTGTTCTTCCCTGATCTGCAAGTACTGTCCATTTACATCCTTTCCTTCTCTTCTGCCACTCTCCCAAGCCATCTTCCACGTGGCCTGGCCTCCACCCCAGCCACCCTCCAGTCCAGCCTTTGCATGGACGACCATCATCTTTCCAACACACTCATCTGATCGTGCTTCCCCTGCTCAGATTTTAGCAGTTTGTCATCACCCACAAGATGAAGTCTCCCCTCCTTGTTTCAGCATTACATATCTCAATCATCTGATACACACACATACACACACCCGCTGCCTATTTTCTCTTTGCCTCCTTTGTCACTAGCCAACCTCCACCATCCCCCAAGTACATGCCCTACCCTGAAGACTGTTTTGGCTCTGTGCTTGGTTTCTGTGCTGTTCCTGCTTCCTGAGATGGCTTCCTTGATAAGGTCTGCCCAGTGAACTACAAGTTGCTGCTACTTTGAGGCCATTCTTCATGCCCGAAGGCAAACCAAAATGTTCATTGTTCTGTGCTCCCCTAAAACTTTGAGCATACTTAGTACTTTTCCTGCAGCTATTATAATTTTTGTGAGTGAGTCAGCCATTCCCTCCAGATTAAAATTTCTTCCATGGCAGGAGTATGTCTTGCCAGAGCCTGGACCCCATAGTAGGCAATCAATAATTGTTCAGTGAACAAATATAAGGATTCCCACACTTGACAAGGAAGTCATCCCAGCACATAGCAAAAACATCTTTATCTTTCTCACGCTGCATAAGTGAGTGGCTTTCTAGTTTGGGACTTCCCTTGTCATGTCTGTCAGGAGCAGCCCAGATGAAGCTAAATAGCTGTGCACCAGCCAGAGGTGGGAGCGTAGGAGGTGTGTGTGCCTTCAGTCTCATATGAGCTCCTTCAGGATACACCTCTGCTTCTCCTGTGCTTGTCTGTGTCTTCCAACCATAGCTACTGCTTCACAGAATGAAAAAGGAAGGTCTGAGGTTAGCTTAGGTGATTCTTATCATTGCATCCAACAGTGTGGCATCTGGACCATGGGAAAGGACCTGAGCTTTTAGTTAGAGTTTGTCCCTGGCCAACATCTGACAGAATCTAGCATCCAAGTCATTGGAATTCCTGGCTTGGTGGAAATGAAGTGGTGAAGGCTCTCAGTTCTCTGGTTTGTTTCCCTTTTAATAGTGTTTTGTTTTAATTCCTGGCAAGGGAAGGTGCCTTACCACCAACCGGGAGATGAAAGGTTAGTAGGCTCTGTTCTTAAAAACTGGGATTTCCTCTTCTTTGTTCATCAGTTCTCCTTGCAGAAGGGAGAGCTCTTTAAGCACATGGCACCGAGCTGGAGACTAAGGTACTTGCTCTAAAAGCAGCAGCAACCTGTGCCTGCCTCAAGGAACATATGGCCAAAGGAGCCTACCTTCCCCAGGAGTGCATCCAGAAATAACTCTTAAGGAAGGCCCAAATCATCATGTTTGGAAGTTGTAGAGGAGCCTTTTCCAAGAAAACTACTTCCAGTGACCTGCATTTTGACTAAATGAATGAGGAAGGCACTTCCATCCCTCTAATCAGGAGAATTGTAGTTGTCAAAATAGTTTTATAGACAGAAACTAGCACTGATTGAACTGAAAGTTGCCAACCTGAGACTTGCACCCCACGCTTCCTGACTCTTAAAACACCATGATGTCACCTTGGCTTATGAAGCACCCAGTTTGCAACATTCAGGAGCTCAGGATTCTGTTTGTTTTATCATCAGTGAATTTTGCCTGATTAAGCTGTTGGGCATTCAGTGAAAATTTGGTCCATGCGGTTGCTCCATACTCTTTTGTGATGAACTGTACCCAAGTGTGACATTGGGCTACCCAGACTTCGCTGAATCACAATCATTGAGTTTTCCGAGCACCAACTTGGGACTTCCAAAGATGTAAATAGCAAACATGAAACCTGGTGACAAAGTGGTAACATGTAGTTGGCCTGAAAGCCGGAGCTGTAGTTGAGATCATTGCTGCTTACTCTGTAGAAGAATTAGCATTGTTTTGACAAAAGAAAAACAGGGTGGAGAATAAAGTCTGGTAAAATAGCTCCAGGATGTCACAGGAGGGAAAGTACCAGACTCCTGAGCTGGCACATTCTGCACTCTTGATCCAGCCACAGACTGAGTTGAGGAGGAAAATGTAAGGGGTTAGTACTGTGTGCCTGGGGAAGCCTGTCTGTTTGTGGTTAATGATGGTCGCAAAGGGACTCTCCACTTGTCATGGCAGAATGAAGGGCTTCCAAGCACAGAATGATTTCTAGACTGAGAAAACCAAGTTTGTTCTTAAAATGCCATTGAATGTCCAATTCTGATTCTCCAGAAGTTCCCCTTCATTGGCCTTCATGTTACTGCAAACAAAGAAGTAACCTCCCAGGCCCACCCTCCCCTCGTGTATCTTTGAGTTCAGGAAATCATCCCATACCCACATTCTCCAAACCTAGGTTTGGTTCACCAAGGAGGCCGGGCCTATTTCATCAATTCTTATTATCTACTCTAAACACTGGAAAATTGGAAGGTTCCCACTTATTTTGGAATGTGTGTGGCCTATCAGTGCCTCAGAATACTTAGCAGCTGATAGTATCTTGCAATCAATGTGGTTAGTAATGAATAATATACTTCATAGAAAACAAGACTAACATTTACCCAATGCTTTAGCATTTCAAAGTACTTTGCAAAAACTGTTTATTCAGCCCTACCACTGATGGGCTGTTTGGTCCTTATGTTACAAGAATTGATACAGTGTAGGAAAGATCTGGGAATCAGAAGACCTGGGTTCTAGTTCCCATTTCACCACGTACTTGCTCTGTGATCTAGGGTCAATGACTCAATATTGCCATCTCTAGAATGAGCTAGGGGTGGGGGAAGATGATTCCAGAAACTTTTCAAAGGTTCTGTCAACTCAAAAACTCTGACTTAAAAGAATATGTTCAAGTGCTTTGTTTTGGTTATACTTAGAAAGGTAATAATTCTCCTGTGGATTTTCAATACAATTACTATTTTATTTTCTTAACTCAAGAATCCCAAACTTGGGGCATATTTCAGGTGTGCTTTGGAATTTCTATTATCTTGTGATCTAGCCAATCTTTGGACCTTTCAAGTCCTGATATATTTCTGGTTGACATTCAAGGGAAGAGTCAAAGACACATCCAGACGCATTCTATAACTTGGAGAAACAGTCAGTGGGCACCCTCCAACAAGAGTGAAAGTTTTGGGCTACAGGATGCCCTTTTTCCCACTGGGGTATAGGAAGGCAGAAGAACTCTCAGGCTGGGAACTACAGCAGCTCCACCCATGGGTGCAACAATTGCCTGGTTTTCCCATTGCTGTGGTAGCAGCAGAAACAGCATGTGGAGATCTTTGCTGAACCTACCACGAAATTATCTTGAGGACGTAGACTTAGCACATGTAGTTTTAACATTTTAGGTCAGTTCTTTCCAAACCAACAATGAGCTGGTTTATCTAAAGCAGTGGTTCCTTGCCTTTTTTTTGGGGGGGGGGGGTCATGAACCCCTTTGAAAATCTTACAGAAGCTATGGATGACCCTCTGCCCAGAAAACTTCCCATATATTCACAAACTGGGATATAATTTAAGGGAATTCCTATATGCCCTGAAGCCCATGGACCCCAAGTTAGCAATCCCTGGTCTAAAGTAGAATAAAGACACCCACCAGGAGGAATGTCAGGGCTGGTGTGAGTCCATAATTTGCTGCCAAAATTAAACAAGTAGTAACATGAAGGTTTGTTTTTTTTTCTTTTCTTCCTCTGACCATCACCCTCTTTCCTTTCTCTATTCCCACATCTTTTGTCATCTCTTCTCGTTCCCTCTCATTTCTCCCCCCATCTCTTGCACATCTGGCACCACAGATGTTCCAGCCTGGCTAAAAAGCCTCCGCCTGCACAAGTATGCTGCGCTTTTCTCGCAGATGACTTATGAGGAAATGATGGCCCTCACCGAGTGCCAGCTGGAGGCTCAGGTATGTGCTTGAAGTGACCGTTCCCTGAGAGGGTACCTCAGGCAGAACCTGAAGTTCAAGTCCTGGACAGACCTTGTTTAGACCCATGCCTATACCCCCTGGAAGCTGCCTTGTTCTAGGAACTGCCAGGTGCTGGCCAGCATTCCACGGTGAGTAAGGCTGGGCTCTTGCCTTCAGAGTCCAGCAGGAGGTCGAAGACCACAGATAACCACAGGGCAATGAGGTGAGACAGAGTGTTAGGAACAGGTGTCACCTAAGTACATTCTAAAAGTTCCAGGGTGATAGGGAGGAATCTGTGGAGTCTCCTAGAAGAAGTAACATTTGACTATGGCCTTCAAGAGCGTGTGTCCCTGCCTTTTTTTTTTTTTTTTTTTTTTTTTTTTT